CGTGATATTTTTTGCGTCAAATATCTATTAACATTTACTGATTCTAAAAAAAAATATGCCTTGTGGTTAGACTAATCTTCTTCAAATTTTAACAGGAAAAAGATGGCGTCCATGTTTTCCTGGGAAGGATGTTTTATAAGTGGATATATTAAAGAGAGAGAAGAGTGTGGGGGGGGGGGGGGAAGGAGAAACTACGCTAGGATGTAATTCTGCCTTAGATGCGTTTTAAATTTTTGTAATTGTGGTTTATGAATACCGCTTACTACTCTTGAGTTAAACCGTAAACAATAAAGAAAAAAAAACACAACTCTTGTTCTCTTAATTCACGAGTGTAGCCTATTTATGACTCGTGTGCTAGCACCATTATCCGTGCAGGCTGGCGAGATAATCACAATTTGTGTGTACTGTTCTGGTGAAATAATGGTGGACTGATAAATGTTACCCTGACCTTTAGTTTCGGTTGCTGGTGACATGTATTGCTACAGTAGTCACTATAGGATTCGGACATTTCTCAATGAAATAAAAGATACATTAATACAACTACATTCATTGATAAAAATAGTATTTGTTAATGTTGTTTGGTGTTTTATTTTACCATCAACACTTGGTTGTGTATGTCTTTAAAACAAACCATTTGTAGTACAGCATAACTTCTCTTGAACACTACAAGTTTCCAGATTTACTTTAAAGATTCTTTTTTTTTACACCACATTTAAAACCAGCTGATTGAAAAAAAAACAGAACATTATTTAAAATAAAATCGATTTTATCCTGAAACCTTCCCCTTACCCCTCCTGTGGTAATTAAATTTACAGACTTAAAAAGGCTACACAAGATCCTTAGCTGAAACCCCAATCTGTCCAAATATTTTTTAGAGGTTCTAAACATCGAATTTTATGCTCATTTTTTAAAAGCCACAAAATAATTTTGGCATGATGGATGAGTGTATTAGTTTCATTTAAATACAATGTCTTTTCCTTGTCACTTCAATTAATGGCAGAGTTAATAAATTGAGAACAGCTATAATTATTATTAAAATAATGTATACATTGAATTGATATGCAACTCCCAAATTGTCTGACATGAAACTAATAATGGTAACCCTTGTTGTTACAGGCCAAAAAACCATCAGTTTCAGCATGAATATCACACCAGAGGGTGATACAATAGATGGTAACGTGGGCTCTGGCAAGGTCTTGACCTGCTCAGCGGTCAGCCAGAGTGACTCTGGACAGAAGCCTGAGATCAAGTGGTTCATCAATGGGGTGGAGTTGACCGCTACCACTGGCAGGTAAAGCAAATTTCATTTTAATTATCATTGTTTTAATTGGTGGTTGAAAATATGGAAGGGGGTGGGGAGGATTTATCTGATGCTCCTGTGATCGTTATTGTTCCTCGTTGCATGTTTTACAACTACAACTGGTATAACAGTTAAGACTGCTATAACAGACTTACCTGGTATAACAGCTACTGCTGGTATAAAATTTTATTGGTGGTGTAACAGTAGCAGATGTATAACCATTATAGCTGGTATAATAATTATAGCTGATATAACAGGTACAGCTGGTACAACAGCTACAGCTGATATAATACTTATGACTCATATAATAGTCATGGCAGGTATACCATCAACTACAGCAGGTATAACAATCATAGATGCATTCTGCATTGCTTCATCAACTCTTGAGATTTTTTGTAATTTCATGTGAAAATAAAAAAAAATATGTTATTTTCAGAGTGAGGATTGAGCTAGGGTCTGACAGTTCTAGCGAAAGGCTTCGCATCAATTCCGTAGAGGATGGGGACGAGGGTGAATACAAGTGCGAGGTCACCTTCGGCAGTGAGACTGACAGCAGGAAAACCAATCTTCAAGTTTACAGTAAGTAAATATTCTTCTTCAAAGCAACATGCTGGAGGAGGGGGGAGAGATATGTTTAAATCTTTTTTTTTTATAGTCACACTGGTCTTAAATCTTGAGACTTAATCTTAATCCTAATCTGAACTTGAAACTTTTGGGTTAGCAGTCTAGCGTACAGTCTAATCTTTACATTAAGTATCATTTTTGTAATAAATTGTTTTAAAAAATATCTTCAACAGAGGAAATATCATTCGTCCCCAGCATGAAATAAAATACTGTAATGAAATTTAAAAAAAAAAACTTTTTTCTACAGAGCTTATAACGATAAAGTCCCCGGAAAACCAGTGGGGTCTGTTTGGTCAGGATGGAAATGTCATGTGTGAGGCTGAGGCCAAGCCCTCTCCTACCATCACATGGAAGTTTGAAGATGGCAGCCGCGTCACCACAGGTAAGTAGGGGGGGGGGGACTCATTGTGTCTCTGACAAGTATGGGGGGGGGGTCTCATTGTGCCTCTGACAAGTATGGGGGGGGGTCTCATTGTGTCACTAACAAGTATGGGGGGGGTCTCATTGTGTCACTGACATGTATGGGGGGGGGGGCCTCATTGTGCCTCTGACAAGTATGGGGGGGGAATCCTCCTGACAAGCACAGGGGGGGGATGTGTCACTGGCAATTATGGGAGGGGTCTCATTACCAAGAGCTTGATGGGTAAGTCTACTGTACAGTTGGGTGAATCAATAAAAGAACAATTTAAATAATTTAATTAGCAGAGCTCATCTGTTGCTTTACCTGTGTCATTATAAAGTTCATCAGATCAGAACAGACTCGAATTTTTCATACACTCTCCATTGGGATGGACTTGTAGTCAACTTTCTTCACAAATTATCTTTTTTTATCTTGAATAACAAAGTATTTCGCTACATTAACCTCCTTTAACCCCAGATTTTGGTATTTTTACGCTCTACAAAGTCGTTTTGTTTGACCATACGTAACATCAAGATAAATGAATGTGTGTTTTTGACAGATAACAACAAGTACATCATTGGTCAGAGCAAGCTGATAATAAAAGACCTATCCTTTGATGACTCCAAAAATTACGTCTGTGATGTGGTGGTGGACCAGAGTGGCGAGGCCAAGGTCTTCACCATCAACTATGTAGTTGTTAGTAAGTATATTTTTGTAACATCAACTATATCGTTGTTAGTAAGTATATTTTTGTAACATCAACTATGTCGTTCTTAGTAAGTACATTTTTGTAACATCAACTATGTCGTTGTTAGTAAGTATATTTTTGTAACATCAACTATGTAGTTGTTAGTAAGTATATTTTTGTAACATCAACTATGTCGTTGTTAGTAAGTATATTTTTGTAACATCAACTATGTCGTTGTTAATAAGTATATTTTTGTAACATCAACTATGTCGTTGTTAGTAAGTATATTTTTGTAACATCAACTATGTAGTTGTTAGTAAGTATATTTTTGTAACATCAACTATGTAGTTGTTAGTTAGTATATTTTTGTAATATACAGTGCTCTCTCTATTTTTGTTTTTTTGCAATCACAATTCAACTTTTGTAAGTGCACTTTTAATTTGCTAAAATACTTTCTTCATAATACATGTAACTTTTGTAATCACATAACATACTTCAAGTAAGTATAAACTTTCCTGAAAAATATTCAAGTATGCTTCGGAAGCTTTATTGCTCTGTTTAGAAAATAAATTTATTAAATCAATCGATACTAGTTATGTAGTAATTTTTGTAAGAATAGGATTAAAGTTTTATTGCCGATAAATGTACTACTATAACTGTTATAAAAAAAAATTCCATTGTATTTACTCTGATTTTTAATTGTTGCATTATGTAATCATCCTACCTACTTAAAATCCAAAATTAAAAACTAATTTTTGGTATATGGTTAATCCATATACAACACACAGCTTCACACAAACAGCCCATCTAGCACATAACAACAATCGATGATATTATACTAAAAACATTTCTGATGTTTTTACTGAAGCTATTTGGCTTCAGCAAAGTTTCTTAACATAAAAATTGTAGAAAAGACTTTTGTAGCCCTCCCACCACAAGTACAGACCAAATAAATCCTGTCCACCCCAAACACTTCATCTCCTTAGTGGTGTAAGTGTAACAGATCAACCAGGAGGCCCACATACATTAAAAGACTGGGGGCCTAACATAATTCACAAGTTTTTAAGGGTGGCGGTAGGGGCGACATATCCACACACATGGTGCAATATATACACATACATATATGTGTGAATATATATATATATATATATATATATATATATATATATATATATATATATATATATATATATATATATATATGTGTGTGTGTGTGTATATATATATGTGTATATGTGTATATGTGTGCATATATATATAGGGCCTATATATATGTACAAATGTATATATATATATATATATATATATATATATATATATATATATATATATATATATATATATATATACTACATAAATACTACTCCATAATAAGAAGACCCACATTCTACACAATCTCTAACCCTTAAAAGTAAAAGACCTAGTTTGTTGGGAATTAAAGATATTTCTGTGGCAATGAGAAAAAACAACAACGTTTTGGCTTTTTTTCAAATATAGTTTAGTTACCTAATATATTAACTACTGTAAATAAACCGGGAGTGATCTGCCCTAAACGTTCTCGAATATTCCTATATAACTTGGAATATAGACATGATTTTTATAGGCTTTTGAAAAATTCAAAGTAGAAAAAGTACCACTTCCGGTTATTCAAAAGTTGATACGGATCTACGATTTTGATAAAATACTTATATATGAAATTTCATTAAACTAGCTGTAACGGTACTCAAGTTATTAATAACCAATTGACACGTATCCTTAATTGTGTTGGAGGGGGATCCCTTCTAACACTAAAATTAAGAACGAAGAAGAAGTCCAAGCCTTACAGAATTTTAAATTTAAATTAAATTTTGTCGAAGCTTAATACAATTTAAAATAATAATTTGTCCAAGCCTGGCCACATTTAAAGTTATACTTCAACAAGACTAACATTTTAAGTTCACCAAGACAAACGCCAGTATTTCGGTATCTGCAGTTCCACCAGTGATCAAACAAATGACCAACATCACTGACGCCGCTGAAGGTGGAAACCTCAACTTCAAGTGTGAAGCCGAAGGTGATCCAGAACCTTCCATTGTCTGGAAGAAACTTGGATCAGAGTCAACCTACTCAGACACTGGTGTTAAGGTATTTCATCAATCTTTTCTTACTTATAGTATTATTTTACATGTGAAATAGAGTAACCTTTTATTCTCCATCTTGACTGCCAACTTTCAATGCTGACCGTATCTTTCCCCAATGCTGACTATACCTTTCCCCAAACCTTACCATACTTTCCTCAATGCTGACTGTACCTTTTCTCAATGCTAACTGTACCTTTCCCCAATGCTGACTGTACCTTTCCTCAATGATGACTGTACTTTCCTCAATGCTGACTATACCTTTCCTCAATGCTGACTGTACCTTTCCTCAATGCTGACTGTACCTTTCCTCAATGCTGACTGTACCTTTCCTCAATGCTGACTGTACCTTTTCTCGATGCAGACTGTACCTTTTCTCAATGCAGACTGTACCTTTCCTCGATGCAGACTGTACCTTTCCCCAATGCTGACTGTACCTTTCCTCAATGCTAACTGTACCTTTCCCCTATGCTGACTGTACCTTTTCTCAATGCTGACTGTACCTTTCCTCAATGCTGACTGTACCTTTCCCCAAAACTTACCATACTTTCCTCAAAGCTGACTGTACCTTTCCTCAATGCTGACTATACCTTTCCACATTGCTGAATGTACCTTTCTCCAATGCTGACTGTACCTTTCCTCAATGATGACTGTACTTTCCTGAATGCTAACTGTACCTTTCCTCAATGCTGACTGTACCTTTCCTCAATGATGACTGTACTTTCCTGAATGCTGACTATACCTTTCCTCAATGCTGACTGTACCTTTCCTCAAAGCTATCTGTACCTTTCACAAATGCTGACTGTACATTTCCTCAATAATGACTGTACCCTTCCTCAATTCTGACTGTACCTTTCCTCAATGCTGACTGTACATTTCCTCAATGCAGACTGTACCTTTCGCCAATGTAGACTGTACCTTTCCTCAATGCTGACTGTACCTTTCCTCATTGATGACTGTACCTTACCTCAATGCTGATTGTACCTTTCCTCAATGCAGACTGCACCTTTCCTCAATACTGACTGTACCATTCCTGAAATTCTGACTGTACCTTTCCCCAATGCTGACTGTACCTTTCCTCAATGCTGACTGTACCTTTCCTCAATGATGACTGTACTTTCCTGAATGCTAACTGTACCTTTCCTCAATGCTGACTGTACCTTTCCTCAATGCTGACTGTACCTTTCCTCAATGATGACTGTACTTTCCTGAATGCTGACTATACCTTTCCTCAATGCTGACTGTACCTTTCCTCAAAGCTATCTGTACCTTTCACAAATGCTGACTGTACATTTCCTCAATAATGACTGTACCCTTCCTCAATTCTGACTGTACCTTTCCTCAATGCTGACTGTACATTTCCTCAATGCAGACTGTACCTTTCGCCAATGCAGACTGTACCTTTCGCCAATGTAGACTGTACCTTTCCTCAATGCTGACTGTACCTTTCCTTAATGCTGACTGTAACTTTCCTCAATGCGTACTGCACCTATTCTCGCCAGGAGGAAGGACTGACCATTGAAACTTTTGTCCCCGCTGATTTGTCTGACGCCATCATCAAAAGAGCGGGAAAAACCATCTCCTTCAACCCCGTCAGATACAGCCACGTTGGGATCTACGTCTGCAGTGCTGTGAACACTGTTGGGAACGCCACACAGGCAGTCAGTCTTGAAGTTCTGTGTAAGTTCCAAATCTGGTATCTTAAAGAGGTTTAAACATGTTTATTTAGTACTCTGTGAGTTCCACATCTTATCATCTTTGAGAGATTTGAACATGTTTATTTATTTCTGTGTAAGTTCCAAAACTAATTGGTCCTCTTAGAGAGATTTGAGCATGTTTATTTAGTTCTTTGGAAGTTCCACAACTGATCATTTTTGAGAGATTCGAACATGTTTATTTAGTTCTTTGGAAGTTCCACAACTGATCATCTTTGAGAGATTTGAACATGTTTATTTAGTTCTGTGTAAGTTCCACAACTGATCATCTTTGAGATATTTGAACATGTTTATTTAGTTCTGTGTAAGTTCCACAACTGATCATCTTATAGAGACTTGTACATGTTTTTTTTTAGTTCTGTGTAAGTTTAAAGTGACTTCTATGGTTTTATGAACTCAAGGCTTATTTAGTTATCTTAAAAAGCTATGTGATTGTTGTTAGAGTACTTGATCTCAAAATTACGCGTTAGCTTCAGGTTTGTTTAATCATCTTCAGATGTCTGTAACAATCTGCTATTTCAACAATTTGATCAATTATAAATGATTTCACAGAAGTGGTGTGGTGTCGCAGTTTTTAATTAAAAAAAACAAACAAACAAAAAAACAACCTACTTATTGTCGCTATAAATATGGTAGTTTTGTTGGTAGGTGGTGATGGAGCTATTTGATGTCAATGTTGAGGGTGTCTGGTATTTTGTGACGATGTGTGATGATAGGAAATGATTTAATTAAGCTGCCAATTTAAAAAGTTCTTTAAAAAATGCTGGCTACAATGCAGCATTACCTTGAAGTTTTTGCTATCCTGGTATTATGGCAGGAATAGCAATTAAATGAGGGATGGGGTTATATATAGGTTATAGTTAATCCTTTGAGCCCGGGCCTCCCTGGCCGAATTTCTCCCATTTCCTGAGCTCCCAGGCCCAAACCGATTTTCACTTATCTGTTTTAACTTTGCCTATAACTTTGAACCGTTTGAGATAATCAAGCTAAATTTGGTATTCAGGCTCAGGAATAAACATCAATTCAGCAAGATTCTGAAATTCTATATGTTTTTACTATGTATGAACATAACATTGTATATAAAACGAACAAGGTTGATGGTCGTGGCTCAGTTTGCACTAATAAAAAAATTTATATACCCATAATTTTTTTATACTACTTACTAAACATAATGACAAAACTAGACTAACCTATCTATTTATTGTTATTATAATAATAAATATAACACAATAATAAAATAATATAAAATAACTGATTCTTTTTTTTTTTGTCGGCAATGTATTTTACAAAATGCAAACACTTTCACTTTCATTTTTCCCCCAAAATCTATTTTTAGAATCATAATCCCGCACTAAAACGACATATGCGCCGTTTTATTCAGTACGCCGCTAATGATATTTAATAAGACGGTATACCAGCCACTAGGACTATGACGCTAGATCATCGGGCCAGAAGACCAGCTTGTTACTAGTGATGCTTGTTACTAGTAAAATATTAAACCTTGAAAACTTCCTTCCGGTATTTAAAACCCGTGCCTAAAACAGCATTAGTTTTATAAACTACTCTTCTATGCATAATTAAAAATAAATTTAACTATTTTTTTTTAAATGTCCAGACAAACCCAACTTTGACACAGATTTCAAAGATAAAGAGTTCTGGGGTTGGGCGGGTCACAGGGCCAACTTGACCTGTGTGGCCAGAGCCAACGAGAAGGCCGGCATTCAGTGGATTATCAAGGATGAGTCCGACCCAACCAAACTGCCAGTCAGCGAAAACAGGCAGCTGGGCAAGGACTTGACCGCTGGCTATCTCGAGGTGGGTGGCTGTTCCGTCAAAAATGCATGGGTCACATTATTAACTGTCAATGTAACATTTTGTGATGTAACATTGTGAATCTAGCTGCTGCTAATGTAACATTGTGTGCTCTAGCTGCTATTGTAACATTATGTTCTCTAGCTGCTAATGTAACATTGTGTGCTCTAGCTGCTATTGTAACATTGTGTGCTCTAGCTGCTGCTAATGTAACATTGTGTGTTCTAGCTGCTAATGTAACATTGTGTGCTCTAGCTGCTATTGTAACATTGTGTGCTCTAGCTGCTAATGTAACATTGTGTGCTCTAGCTGCTATTGTAACATTATGTTCTCTAGCTGCTAATGTAACATTGTGTGCTCTAGCTGCTATTGTAACATTGTGTGCTCTAGCTGCTGCTAATGTAACATTGTGTGTTCTAGCTGCTAATGTAACATTGTGTGCTCTAGCTGCTAATGTAACAGTGTGTGCTCTAGCTGCTAATGTAACATTGTGTGCTCTAGCTGCTAATGTAACATTGTGTGCTCTAGCTGCTAATGTAACAGTGTGTGCTCTAGCTGCTAATGTAACACTATGTGCTCTAGCTGCTAATGTAACATTGTGTGCTCTAGCTGCTAATGTAACATTGTGTGCTCTAGATATTACTAATGTAACATTGTGTTCTTTACGACCGCCATGTCGGAACTTTTGTATCTGCAGATACTGCTGGATTCAACAAGCTCCCAAATGTACAGAAACTACATCTGTGTAGCCAAGAACAGCTTTGGTGAAGCAACACAGGAAATCACACTAAAAGAAGCGAGTGAGTTCCATTCAGAAGCTAACAAATCTGCTAAAACATTTTAAGTGAATTTTAAATTGTTAAACTGGGTGGACAGACCCAGTTTTTTTTTTCTACAACGCTTTTCCTTCTTACTGTAGTCATCTCATCGTTTGAATTACAGTTGATACCAACATGTGAATTACAGTTGGTAACATGTGAATTACAGTTGGTAACATGTGAATTACAGTTGGTAACATGTGAATTACAGTTGGTAACATGTGAATTACAGTTGGTAACATGTGAATTACAGTTGGTAACATGTGAATTACAGTTGGTAACATGTGAATTACAGTTGGTAACATGTGAATTACAGTTGGTAACATGTGAATTACAGTTGGTAACATGTGAATTACAGTTGGTAACATGTGAATTACAGTTGGTAACATGTGTATTACAGTTGGTAACATGTGTATTACAGGTGGTAACAACATGTTTATTACAGTTGGTACCAACATTGGAATTACAATTGGTAATTAAGTCAACCACAACACATAAAGTTTACCATAGGTATATTTTACCACCAAAAATATAAAGGTTACTACAACCTGTACAAAGTAAACATTAATCTTATTAAAAGCATTAAGAGAGAAATTTCTAGTGAATAAAAACAAACAGAATGTTTTATCTTGACACCACAAATGTGCCAGTAACATTTTTATTTTAACCCATGTTTATTTATTGAATTGTCAAACATAGAGAACTGGGTGCTGGAATGCTTGTTGTTTATTCTGTTGGTTGTCAGTTTCTTTTATAAATGTACCAATAAAGCTGCTGGTTGATATGAACTGGTTGTCCTGTTCACAGCTACACCAGAACAACCCAAGGTGTCTCTGGAGTCTGCGTACACCACAATGGTGACCTTGAATGTGGAGCCACCAACCCGCACTGGGGGACAACCCGTAACTGAGTACAGCTACACGGTTGACAATACAGCCCTCACTGGAAAAGCCAGTAAGTTGTCAAAACATGGATGGTAGGATTGTACTTTAAAGTCAGGCTAAATTGGATGGTAGGATTGTACTTTAGAGTCAGGCTTAATTGGATGGTAGGATTGTTCTTGGTCATAGTCAGGCTGTTGGATGGTAGGATTTTGCTTTAGAGTCAGGCTAAGTTGGGTGGTAGGATTGTACTTGATCATAGGGTCAGGCTAAATTGGTTGGTAGGATTGTACTTTAGAGTCAGGCTAAGTTGGATGGTAGGATTGTGCTTTAGAGTAAGGCTAAGTTGGGTGGTAGGATTGTACTTGATCATAGGGTCAAGCTAAGTTGGATGGTAGGATTGTACTTAGTCATAGTCAGGCTGTTGGATGGTAGGATTTTGCTTTAGAGTCAGGCTAAGTTGGGTGGTAGGATTGTACTTGATCATAGGGTCAGGCTAAATTGGTTGGTAGGATTGTACTTTAGAGTCAGGCTAAGTTGGATGGTAGGATTGTGCTTTAGAGTAAGGCTAAGTTGGATGGTAGGATTGTACTTTAGAGTCAGGCTAAGTTGGATGGTAGGATTGTACTTTAGAGTCAGGCTAAGTTGGATGGGAGGATTGTACTTTAGAGTCAGGCTAAGTTGGATGGTAGGATTGTACTTTAGATTCAGGCTGTTGGATGGTAGGATTGTACTTTAGAGTCAGGCTAAGTTGGATGGTATGATTGTACTTGGTCATAGTCAGGCTAAGTTGCATGGTTGGATTGTACTTTAGATTCAGGCTAAGTTGGATGCTAGGATTGTACTTAGAGTCAGGCTAAATTGGATGCTAGGATTGTACTTTAGAGTCAGGCTTAGTTGGATGGTAGGATTGTACTTTAGAGTCAGGCTAAATTGGATGGTAGGATTGTACTTTAGAGTCAGGCTAAGTTGGATGCTAGGATTGTACTTTAGAGTCAGGCTTAGTTGGATGGTAGGATTGTACTTTAGAGTCAGGCTAAATTGGATGGTAGGATTGTACTTGGTCATAGATAGTCAGGCTGTGTTGAAACTGCTATTGGTAGCATACATGAGCCTTTAATTTAAACGGGTGGATATAAAAACTTTTACCTTTAACAGGAAGCATATACATAATTTTACCTTTAATAAGTGGCATATACATACACCTTTACTATGTATAATTTAATGAGAAATATTGCCTGAAATAATTTTGTTATTTTGTATTGTATTTTGAAACTATTTTAATACATCCAATGTTAAAAGTCCCCTTAAGTCAAATTCGATGATTCTATAACAGATTTAAATTTTATATATGGTTATCTAATCCATGACTCCTATCCCATTATTTAAAATGGTTTGTATTAATTTTCTAGCACTAACTGGTCAAGTCACAAGGTTGGAGGTCGACGGACTGGAGCCTAGCAAGTCTTATATAATTCGAGTCAAAGCCAGGAACAACGTAGGCCTGGGCACAGATTACCCTTTTAACGTGGAAACCCTAAAAGTTAGTAAACCACTGCGTCTGGACATCACCTCACCCGCAAATGGAGCTGATGCTACCCAATACGTTCTCACATGGGCTGATCCTGCTAACAGTGGTTCTCCAATTACATCCTTCAAAGTTGTCTATAGAATGGTATGTTGTTTTGACTCTGTTTGTCTATAGAATGGTATGTTGTTTTGACTCTGTCTATAGAATGGTATGTTATTTTGACTCTGTCTATAGAATGGTATGTAGTTTTGACTCTGTCTATAGAATGGTATGTTATTTTGACTTTGCTTTTCGATAGAATGTCTGTTATTTGGCTTAGTTTGTTTATACAACAGTAAGGAATTTTTAAATATATATATATACTTTTGTATCTTATGTTATTAAAATTGTCTATAAAACTGTTATTTTATTAAAATTTTCAATAAAATAGTTATCATTTCAAATATAATGGTTACATATTTCTTCAAATTGTCAATAGAATGGTTACATTGGTAATTTATTTTAATTAAACTAGCAGCTAGTTAATTTTTTTTGGAGATATCATTGGATTTTTAAGAAATGGAGTATAAAAATGATAAGAATCCAAAATTTTAATCTACCATCAGCTTTAAACATGAACAACTGGGTAGTTGGGGAGACTAGCTCAGAACTGAGCAGCCTGTGAAGACTTCTAATGGTACCCATAGTTTATTGGGTCTAAAACTACCTATTGAATGCCATAACTTATTGTGGTGTCATAACCCTAATCCACCTAACTCAAAAGTCAGCCTTGCTAGATAAAAATTAAAGAAATTATTTTAAAATGTAAATTACAATTTTAAATTATTAATTGTTTCACTTCCTGGCAGTCATGGGTGTTAAATCGTTTAATAGTTACAGTTTGTATATTCCTCTTTTGTTTGATAGGTTGAAGTTGAAGCTAATGATGATCCATCTAAATGGAAAGTCAAGGCTGATAAAGACACAACCTCTACAGTAAGGACCATCAACGGAGGAGGAGCTCGTAGCTACTCTATTTCTGGATTACAAAAAGATTCCTATTATGAAATAAGACTAACAGCCATCAATGACATTGGGGAATCTGATGTAGAGATAAAGATTGTTAAAACTGGCAAAGGAGGTGAGTCATTATTGTTAATTTAGTGTTGTCGTTTTTTTAACTTGAAAAATATTCAAGTCCAGCTTTGTTGATTAGAAGCTGTCATTTAAATATTAAATACTATGAAAAAGTTTGAATAAAAATTGTGAGATATTTTAACAAATGCAGGTCATAAGAAGTCCCATACTATTATGTCTACAACAATCTACTCAAAATTTTATTGAAAGCAATTTTTGACATCTACACCATTTCTAGAATATCTAATAATTAGGGCTTCTGAACTATACGCATTTGAGTTTTTGTTTTAGTAAAAATATTATTTTAAAGACAGAGGAATTTTCTTCAAGAGTTTGACCTTAATTTCTTTGTAGTTTGAGCTAAATATTAAATTTGAACAAATTTATTTAAAAAATAAGATGCTTCTGAGTAAAAAAAAGTAATTTAAAATTCCAATTCTTTTGGTAATGTAAGCAAAATACTTGAATAAGAGTGAAGAAAGAAAAAATTAAACTAACGATAAGGTTTTAAGCAGCTTATCTGAATCAGCAGATGAGACAGGTATTGTTACAGGCAATTTTCTTGATCTGCATCCGAGCTTATGCTGCAGGAGCTTCTCTCTGTG